AAGTATATTATTATTATTATTTATCCATGTAGAACTGTGTTTCTGCATTGCACTACTTCACTATTAAAATGAGGGTAAGGGACTTGAGTAAATCACTTTGACATATTTAATGCTGTACCACATTAATCAGTGACATTATAAACATATTACACAGGACGTTGTGCCATATTTCAATGCAAGCATAAATTCAGAGGTAAATTAAAAAACTACGCTACCATGTAAAATAAATCCTGTAGCAAACACCGTAGTGTGCCAACATAAACCTACAGCAATAAAAGACACACAATTTAATTATCCACAATTCACTGTTTGGTATGTGTTCAGGCTGAGAAAGGCAACGTTTAAATACAAACAGCATTTAAAAACATTGTGCTTCTTTTGTGATCATATTCAACAAATTCAAAAGAGAGACTTCTCCTCTCATACAACAAAGTGTAAGCCTATACTATAATGAACATAATCTAGCATAATTAGTTCCTATGCATATAGTATGTTGACTAGCTTAGTCTCTTAGGAATTTTAAGGGGCACTGCACCACAGCTATTTTAAATTTACACATTAGGCTGAGTAGACACAGAAAGTAACTACCCTGATGATGTCATTTCAAACTTGTGGTTTTGAAGCTTGACCTATACTTGGAACTCTGTATACATCTGTCTCTGCACTATCCATTTCTACCTTTTAAAAACTCTCTTGCAAGCACAAGCAACTTTATGGAGGTGCATATGAAATAGGGACCTATATTTTATAATGATGTATAAAATAATTTATGAACAAACACTTCAAAGCAATTTCAGGCCACAAATTAAGTGATATCTTAACACAATGTCTAATTTCTAATATATCTTAATACACATATCTTAAAAAATAAAATGCTTGTTTTGCTAACAGTGTAAAATATAAATAACTAGTTACCACAATGCTGGCTTTACACTGTACCACAGTGAAGGCAAGAGGAGTCTTCTCACACACTGCTGGTGGAAGTATTTCTTTTTTCTCACATCAGTTCACAACCAGGTTCCTTTCCATTTGGCAGGCTGGTCTGAATATATTGAATGCCCTCAGGAATCTTTGGTGTTTACAAGTACCTCTGAACCCATCCGCAGGGATTGACATCAAGTCGCAGGAAGTTCTGCAGCCACAGGCTCTTCTGAGCCCCCTGGACAAACTCTTCCAGTGTAATCTGACCTGCAGCACAGACACAAAAATCCTGCATGAATAATTAATGGATAAATATTGAGGAAACTTATTTTTGAAGGATTTGTTTGAGGATGTTGTTGGTTTAGAGTATGCAGTCAACATACCGTCACTGTTCACATCAACCTCTTGAAAGATGCGATCACACACCTGCTCCGCGGTCAGGTTCCCTGTTCCTGTTTCATCAGACACACAGCCTTTCTTTATCTTGTAGATTATCTGAAAGACAGATTCCAAATTTGACTGTTTCGTATCCTATTCTGCAAAGCTTTTGACATATTGTGTGGTTTTTAGCCATGCTTTCAGCATATTTCTAGGGATGGCAATGTTGCTCTAATAGTTGATCAGCCACAACTGTGATTTGTGTTTAGTACTATTTGGTAATTGTTAATACACCTATGAATTTGGTGAATTTGGTAAACATTATATCTTAAATATCAGCATATTAGCATTGTCATTGTGAATAGTCGATATGCTGACATTAACGTGACATAAGATGAATATGTTTTACCTTAACAATCTTCCGTAGTTCATGTCTGTCTAGACAGCCGTTGTCATCGCTGTCAAAGACCTTGAAAGACCACCGCAGCTTATTTTCAAGTTTTCCACGCAGAACAAGATTAAGTGCAGCCACATACTCAATAAAATCCATTGTGTTGTCCTGAAAACACAAAAACATTATTATTGAATTCCCAACAAGGAAAGTATGCTAGGGATTTGTGTTTCTAATTATAAAGACAGATATGTAAAAGTGTTTTCAAGAATACAAATCAGGTATCAAATTATAATTGCTGATATTGTTTGGACTTAGCATTAAAGGCTGAAACATGTGACTTCAAAGCAGCTGTAACTCACATGATTCATGTCAAATGCTCTGAAGATGCTGTCCATGTACTGTGATTCAGGTGTACCATTCTGTACTCCAAACATCCGCTTGAACTCATGCAGGTACAGAGCCACTCTGGCACTCCAAGATGAATGACCTGTAGAGGTCCTGGATGCTATTTAACTCCAGTTCTTCTTCCTGTGTCTGTATTTGCTGATTTTGACCCATGCTAAAATCCAAATCGTACCACTGGAGCAAAAAACACTGAATTTCTTATTTTATATTAAAAAATAAGTACACGCTTTAGTAAAGTAATATCCTTAAGAATGCCCTCTTCATGGCTGCCGTTGACAGTTTCTTCAGAGTCGAGTGTGATAACTGATTTATGTAACCCCAAGAGTCTTATTTTTAGCTAAAGTCTTTGGCAAGCTGAGTTTAAAGCAGTGATCCACCTGCCTGATCCCATCTTGAACCTTTAGTAACCCAGGACCACTACACGTCACAGT